ATTCTGTTTTTGTCATTACTCTTTTATTTTAGTTCAATACAGATGAGTTCTGATCTCAACAATGAAAAATGGCTAATAAAAAACATTTAGTTGACATGGAACAAAACTGGGTTTTGGTAGAAAAAAAGCATATTCAGCATTAGGGGGCCATAAACTAGCAAACACAAACACATCTTATGATCCCATTGACTCCAGCAAGGTTAAAAATCCCATTGATCTGGCACAGGATTTCATTTAATAAAAAAGCCAACCAACCAACCAGAACCACAAAACCCTCTTCTTGTTGATTTTAGGCCAAATCCAGACCATTTTACCTACAAGTAATATATTTTAACCCATAATTCAACTATTCTGAAAAAGCTCAGTTGAGGAGAACATGGAGAAGAATGACTAATTTGATAGGGTTTAGAGTGTCTTAGTTAAGACAGTAGAAAAAACATGCAAATAGGTGATAAAGCACCTACTGGCAATCTTACTGAAGTTCTAAGTAGATGGGAAGAATCTCTCTAGAGCTACTAGAATAGAAATAGATATGCCTTTAAAAATATAAAAGTGGGTTGGATTAATTAAATATACCAGTAAGGGTTCTGTTTCTAGAGCTAACCTACACTGGATTAAACAGCATCTCCAAGTAAAAAGACATTACTGCCATGAAGCAAGTATCCTGCCCCCCAAAATAAAAACCAGTACCCCATTAGATCTGCCCCTGAGGATATTGAGAGCATCTGTCAAAGAAGTCATGTTTATTTATTTTACAAGTCAGTTCATCAAAGGAATTTTATATTGTTTTCTTATCTGGCTATATTGCACAGTGTATATTAGATTTTGAGGTCAGATGTCAGGAAGCAGAGGTTCCATGTTATAGGAAAAAGTCTGCAATTTTGGGTACCTAGTAACATTAATTTACACACATAAGATACAGCCATGTGCATTTCCTTGTGCCTCCTTTGGCTCTTCACTGAACTTAGAAATACTACACTTTCTATTGGATTCTTTTCTCATTAGGATGAGAGATCTTAGACAGGAATTGATTACTTTGTGTTTTGAAATTTTGTATTTACTCCTTGGCTTTATGGTGTTGAAAAATAGCTGCAAAGTTCCCATCTGGTGGCCTCAAATGAAAAAAAAAAAGGCACATTCAAGTACCCTACCTGTATTTTAGGTAGATTATTAGCACCTGTTTTTTGAAATCTTTGCTAAATATTGTTGTTTTATCAAAGCATTTTAAAAAACACAATACTCACAATTTTGTCAATTCCGTGTGATGCAATTTCTTACCTATGGTCACCATAAACTATGAGGAAAAGGCACTTTGTTAGTTTTCTATGGATCAAATCCACTGTTCACCAAAGCTTACATAAATGATAATAATAGGGTGACCTAGGTAGAAAAAATTGAAAGTCTAGATAAGTTAAACTGAATTGCTTTTTTCTCTGAACTACAATCTCTGATGATCTTTTTTAAGGATTCTGAAGAGGCAAGCTTCCAGTTTCTACCCTCTGCGCTACATGGTACTGTACGTGTTCTGGTAGGACTGCTCTGCCTCTCCCAACACTGAAACACTGAAATGCCTCAAAATTGAGGCATTGAAAATATTCCTAGCCTGTGAAGTTACTTGCTATGTTCTTAAGTAATTGACTTAAAATATTGTTAGAAGGGTTCTACAGATTGGAAATGAATGTTCGAAAAAAGGGATACATAAGTATTAGGTCACTATGCGGCAACAACTTGTCAAAAGAATAGTTACTTATGTATTTATGTATTATCCTAGGTCTACAACAAAGTAATCTGGATTATTTTAGCCTTCAGGGAAAAAAATACATGTCAGTGCATGTCACTGTTTCCCAGGCAAGTGTTCAGATTTTCAGGGCTGATTCCTCTGTATGTTAATATTAACATTAAAAAAAATTAAACCCAAAAAATCAAACCCATTTTGTCACGCATACAATCTTGACCATGATCTCCTCTGAGAAGTCCATAACAGTGATCAATATAGCTAAAGAATGTACTCTTATCATCTTTACAAATAAAGTGTATTGACATTTTTTCACACATGCATTCTGTTAATTCCATAGTGACTCCAGGATCTCTCAAAATCAGAAAAAGATAAAAATGGTTTAAACAGAATTTAGATTTTTGTTTGCTCAGCAGCTGTGCTTGGTGGCTTTACAGGCAACTAGTCTTCCAAAGTATTATGTCTTTTGATCTTTTTCCATAGCTGAGTTAATTTTTAAAATAACTTCAACATTTCCGGAATGATCCATGGGCTTGGACTACCTTTCTTTTCCATTTTATTTGGATAGTTTTATTATAGAGTTGGGGGGTTTTATATAGCTCTGCATACAGAAGGTGCCAGCTTGACTCCATATACAGGATCAAAGCCAATTTCTGTCATTCTATAACAGGAAGATGAAATTAAAACCAGCTTGCTCATCAGGATGCTTGAAACATCTTTATTTCACCTATCTAATTTTTTTTAAACACTTCTTTAACTTTCCATGGATCCTGTGCTATCAACTTTTTTTTTTCCCAAGGTCATGTCCATAGAATTACATTTGATGAAGTGAAAAAAAAGAAAGACAAACTATTAAGATAAAAAAGCCTAGAATTTTGGCATACTTTTTTTCCGTAATATTTTTAGGGACTAAACACTAGCAGAAAAGAACAGGAACATTGTACTTTAATAGGAAACAAAATGTATGCAGAGGTCTTCAATACTATTCAATATATTTTGTCTTACTGTTGCAGAATATGAAAATAAGATATGTCTCTAATCTTAAGAAGTTGTACAGCATAATTATATTATGTTTTTTCTAAGGTTGCACAACTCCTTTAAGATATTGCAAGCTCCAGGAAGGCTTATATCAGCTACAATCACATTGCTTTATACCTGTAGGAGAGCATTTTTCTGTGCTGAGTATGCTGCAGAGAATTCTAGCTCTCCCAAGAAGGCACTATGAAATCCTTAATGTGAAAAAAAGGATACTTAAAGTATTAAGAGAAACACAAAAATCATAGAAACTCCATAGAGTTTAATTTTAGTTTAATTTTATCTGGTCTTTAGGAACGATTGAATTGTAGTTATATCCCCTAGTTCACCAAAACAGCTACCAAAAAAAAAAAAAAAAAAAAAAGGCAGGGGTACATGAGAAAGTGAATAGAGAGAAAATTAAATGAAGGCCTAAATTCTGAAGTTGTCTTGCAACTGATTTTTTTCCTGCTATCTAGAAAGGCACCACCTTGGTGCCTGCTGGGACAAATCAGACCTTTTGCTTATTGAAAGCAACATCTAAGACTCACAGTAAATGTGGGAGAAAATAAAAAAAAAAAAGATTAAAAATTACATTCAGTGGCAATGAGAACCAAAGTCAGAGCTCTTCTGCACAGAATACACCTGATCCTGCCCACCCTTGAACCTCATAAGCCTTTTTCTTCATATAGCTCTTCAGTGCCACTCATACTTTGCCACATTTCCATACCCAACTCTGAATGCAGTCATGGTCTTTCTTACCATTTCTTTGCATTAGTTACTTTTGGTTTGCTTTGGTCTGGCTTATAACATGGTAGTATGCCAGCTTTCCTTTTAAGTGGTCTAGAACCTTTTATAATTTAATTACACTAATATAATACTTACTCATCTGCTTCCTTTCTACAACTAGGCTTCCTTGCATTTTTTCAATTCAATTTTCCTGATGGTGACAGATGTAGACAAATTATTGCAGTTGTTCTACACATTTCAAAATTATGGCCACTTTTTATGTGTCTTTATATAAATTTATGCAGCTGGGTCCAGGTTTTAACACTTGGGATAGATGATGGCACTTGCTTCTCATCCAGGTGGATTTCAGCACTCTTTCCTGACTCAGCAAGATACATACTTGTCTCTTTACCCAAACTGTCACTCAGAACAACCAGATCCATGTGAAGAGCAAATGTAACAAGGTTTCAGTTACAGTTTTTGCTGATCTACTCCAGGCCTTAGTTACCCAGCCACCACAGAAAGAAATTGGGCAAACCTCACTAGTGTATGTTTTGAAATGGATGGTGTCAACTGTAATTAAATAAGATAAATTAAACTTTCATTCTTCACAGTCCTTCATGTCATTCAGCAAGACAACAGCAGTTGTCCTTTTTACATTTATCAATTGACCTCTAGCCTTGAAAGTCATAATTAACGAGTTTATAAACATACTGAAAACCCTACGGTACGCCCACAGGCAATCGGGTCCCAGTATTAAGCACGCTTATGGGTGGCGAGGGAGAAGGAAACCACTTCAAGGAGTTGCACAGAGAAATAAACCCTTCGTCGCTCTTTTGGTAAATCTACCAGCATAAAGCCCCGCGGGGAGATCCTACGGATATTGGCGTGGGCCGGGACCCCCATTTTCGCAACGGGCGCCGGGGTGGGCTGGGCGGCAGGTGGGCAGGCCGGCCGAGGGGCGGGCGGGGGCCGGGCTCTCCCTCCCGTTGCCAGGTGAAGCGCAACGTCTCCGCCTCCTCGCGGTAGGCGCGCAGCCCCGCGGAGCGCACGCAGGCGGCTCGGCTTGGTCGGCTAAGCTCGGCTCGGCTCCACACGGCTTCGCGGGGCGGCCAGCGCCCCAGCCCCGCCGCCCCCCGCCATGGCGCAGAGTATCAAGAGGGGAATCCTCTGTCCGAGCTTCGTGAGGAGGAACTGGCTGCTGCTGAGCACGGTGGCCGCCGTGCTGGCGGGTGAGCGCGGGGGGCCGGCAAGGGAGCGCGGCGCCGCCGCCCCTCGCCCGGCCTTGCCGGCACGACACGGCCTCGCCCGGCCGCAGAGCGGAGCCTGCGGCGGGGCGAGGGGCGCTCGGCGGCCGCAGGGCCGGGCGGCGCGGGGCGATGCTAACGACGCACCCGAACGGCGGGCGAGGCGGGCCGGCCGCCCTTCCCCGGCACCGCCGCGGGGAGCGGCTCCGCAGCGTTGCGGTGTCGCCGCGGCCGCGCGGGAGCGGCGCTGGGCGCGGGGGACGCGGCGCCCGTACCCGAGAGCGGCCGGGTCGGCAGCGGGGCCCGGGGCTCCTCTTGGCCGGGCGGCTCCTGTCCCGCCGGCCCGTGTGGCAAAGGTCGGTGATCGGCGGCGTGAACCTGCGCCGTGGAGGACGGACGCGGGGTCTGTGAGCCCTCGGTTCTGCGGGTCCCCAGGGCGGGCTATGCCCCAGGCGGCGTCCGCAGCCCCGGGGGGACCGCGGCGCCTTCCTTTCGTGAGTCTGCGGGGGCAGCATTGGTGGTGGCTTTGGAGAGCTTCTGATGGCCCAAGCGAGCTTTGCAAGTGGAAGAGCTTGCGGTGCCACTCGTCTTTCAGTGGGGTTTTGGGGAACTGAGGAGTTTGGCAGTGCCACCCATTTTTCAGAGGAGCTTTCAGGGTGAAAAGTTTCTCAATGCCGCCCAGCTTTCAGAGGGATTTTCAGGGGCTTCATTGTAAAGATACGAAGATTTCTCCCCTGCATGTCAACAAGTTTCTGAAGGGGAGATGAGTTGAACGCCATCTTACTAAGGATAGGTGGGCAGAGAGGGCAAAGAAAATGCATCAAAGGACTTGGACAAAGAGTCTTTTCCATAGGACATAATTTTGGCCCTAGTCACACACGTTTTATTCATTTTTTTTCCTGGTGATTATTTGGAGAGCTTCCTTTGCATTATTGCTACTGCAGAGAAGTGCTGCTTTAAATACTTCATTAACTTGCTATCTGATGGTTCTCTTTCAGATGACTTTTCTGCAAATTTGCATTTTGGCTGGAACATACCTATTTCAGTGCAAATTTGTTCAGGAGAGAATTATTATTTTGGAATTCTACCCAGCTATTTATAAGCTGTGATCAGAGCTATGCTTACGTATGCACATGCAATTTTTTTGACATATTCAGTATTTGAAAGATATCCATTCTTTTTCACCTCTTTTGTAAGTGGAAAGGTTCTTGTGAGTTCTGTATACCAAGTGCTAAGGGCTTGCTTTGAAAATGTGACCATACAACTGGAGGAGTATCTATATGCTCCTGTGTTTGTGTGTGTACAGTTACGTTTTCACATACTCCTGTCGGGTACCCTTCTATGAGCTGACATACTTCCTTCCCAGTTACAGAAGTGGTTAAGAAAAATTCCCCTTGCATTATCTTCAGTGACTGTAGTTTGAACTGAAGTGTGTGATATGATTCTATAGGTGGATCATTCTGAAATTAAATTTCTCTGGGAGCCACAAAGTCTGGCAGTACGGGAACTGTGGGGACAGTAATGACCCCAATCCCCCTAATACCCAATGGGAATTCACAGTGAGAGAGTGGCAAGCACACAGATGCCTCCTGTGTCCTTGGGCTTCTGGTACACTGTAATTAACAGTCCAGAACTCAGGGGAGCTCTCAAATACTGGGAAAGAGAGCCTTAAGAATTCCATGAGCTTTGAACCAAATTACGTTTTACATGTAGCTATCTATCTGCTGCATTTTTAGTATTTCTTTGAGGTGAAGTAAGGTATGCAAGAACAGTGAAACCCTTGTAAAGATGGAGTTGAATCATATGTTATGGTTTTACTACAGCTTGAGGAAAGTTCGTAGTATACCTAGAGTCCACAAACCCTTCATAATTAAATTTGCATATTCATTTTTATATACTCTGGGAAATTGTACTGAGGGTTATTAATCTAGTTAGTTTGGAGGAACAATCTACCATTTATGAGCAGAAGAGTAGCGCATGATTTTGAAAGAAGTACATACCTTTAGGTTTTTCAGAAAAGTGTGATGAATGAGGAGTGGAAATAACAAATGCAGCAAGCTGTGAAAATATGCTATGTAAGCTGTCCAGCTGTGCTGTAAAGTATCTGATATTCCTACACTGTCATAAGGAATCATGATTTTTGCTCATCGTTATCAAGCCATGTTCAACATCCAATTGAAATATGCTTATCTTTGCTAGTACTCTTACTAAGCTCAAAAGTTTTCCCAATTACTTCTGGTGTGCATCTCTGACAAGAGACAGAAACAGGAAAAAAAACCTCCTTCAAGAGTAATGATTCTATGTTATCTTTTAAGCTTTCAACTCTTTGCCTGTGGTTTACGTTCTCAAAAACATGGGAATTTCTTTTATAGCAGTGGGGGGGAGGGGATAATTTAAAATTTATACACAAGGCATCTTGGGTGTCACATTTTTTTTGTGAAAACACCTGAATGCAGTTTTCAAAGAAAACAAAACTCAAGGCTGAAGAGGTTATTTTCCTTACCTTAGCAGACATTCTGTTTCAGACCACCAAACTGATGTGGAGAGATCTGTGACTATGAGAGTAGCAGCCTCACGCAGATACCTACAAGAGGGGACATATTTTGCATCTTTTTACTCTACTGGCCTTACTGAGCCCAAAGCAGCTGAGCTGACTAAAGCAGTTTAAAAGTCAACCTACCTCAAGTGCTTCTTCAGCCTTTCATATAGAAAGTTACATTGCTTCCAATTTCTACAATCAAGTCAAAATAAACCAGAAATGTCCCTGAAATTTACTCACCCTGAAACCCATGTCCAAAGGGCAATTGGATATGGAGAGTTTAAGTCACACTTCACAGGATTCTCATGGAGCATCTATTTTTTGTCATTGACTTGTCTCCAAGAGGTCACTGCTGCAATACAGCCAAACCAGTCATGAAAGTAAAAGGCTGATTATGTATAAATACTTGTTCATTCATTAGTCTGTGTGTCATCGCCTAATAGCTTGTAATGCTGGGCAATTCTTCAGCAGAACAGATTTTTTCTTACAGTGGAAACTAAAGGGTAGGTGATTTGCCTACATATGATCTGAGGCATTGAGTTGCAGTGGCACACTGTCCTAGAGCAGAGATCTTTTGATGTTCTCAGAAATTATACACAAAAAGGTTGGTTAATACTTATTTTGAAAATTATTAGACCATTATCTTTTTTTTGTAGCAGTTCTGTGGTGGGGGAACACGATTCTGAGGTATTCAGTTTGCCTAAATTTACAGGTTACTTCCTCCCCCAATAGACTATCTGAAGTGGGCTTTCTTCAGCAGTACATGTGCACTGAAATTCTTCAGGTAGTCACAAGGAAGATGCGAGAAATGCAATATTTAGGTAGATACAGCCACCAGTCACAGGAGACTGTGAATTGCAGGCGTCCTTCCTTCCGCCTGGCATAGGTCGTGTTCGTCGGAGGTATTTCAGTGCGAGGCAGTGATGACCACTTGTGTGCTCTGCCATTAGCTTCCTCCTCCATTCTGTTCTTCGCTTATGGACGTGTTGCTCATGCAGTTCACCTCAGAAAGGGACCCTGGGTGCCATGGCCATGCAGGCGGGAGCGGCGCAGGGGCGGCGGGAGCTGTCCGAGGTGGCTCAGGGGCAGCCCGCGGACCGGGCAAACAGAGAACTGGCAAAACGCGGAGCTGCAGCAAGTGGGGGTGTGAGGCAGGAGTGAAGTGACTGAAAAAGGGTGGAGGTCAGGTGTTCAGGCTGGAGCATGCCTGAATACTGACTTTTCCACTTCTGAAATGAAGTTTATTCAGTTTCTGCAGTGTCAGACCCTTTGCTTGTGTAGTTCCCATGTTGAAAGATTGAGGCTGGCATCAGACCTCCTTTTCTCCCCGCATTTGAGAGTGGGATTAAAATATGCATTGTTCCTGTTGTAACACCAGCATTGAAGAAACTTTGAGTATTGTGACTATAGCTTTTTGCCAGGATTTGATGAGTGCAGCAGCCATTGGATCTTCTGGTTTGTGCTTTATGATACCACCCTAGCAGTTCATATGCCAAAAATTTATTCTCTTTAATGTTAATGAAAGTTATTATTTTATATTGTAATATTAAGTAGTAATATCTCCCTATAGGAATATTTTTTTTGTTCCCATGTAAGTCAGGTGTATTCACACCTGCTAAATGAAATGCTCCCTCTGTAATCAGACACAAGGAGATTTGACAGCTACTTTTAAAAGCGGTAGTTCCACATTACCTGGAAGCCCATCAGTGCGTTCTTACAAGAATTAATGTCTCACAGGGTGAAGACAACAACAGAACATTTAGTAACTTATCACTGTGTTGATGGCCTTTCACCATGCAAAAAGCCAGTCTGAATCGAGGGAGCTCACGGTTCTCCTGAGTTTCTTTTGTAAATGTAGCCTGCAAGCCCATACACCCCATAAACTTATAAAGTCTTTCTGTTTCTCATGGTGAGTTGCTTCTGTCTCTGGCAAACATAATTTAAAAATCAGAAGCCCATTCTGGATATGAAGTAAGGTTTCACTGTTTTTCATTTCCACCTCCTTCTGCCTTTACCAAGAAGTGGCCTGTTAGCTTAGTTTAGGCTGTCTTCAGTACCATTTCTCGTTTCTTGCACAGTACGGTGGGAAGGTTACAAACAATGAAACAGATCAATCATCTCTTACACTAGAAAATACACTAGCAAAAACATCAGGAAATAAATTCAGAGGGATATAATAAAGCAAGAGAATTATTACTTCATGAGTTTATCACAAGTATAGTTGTAAAGCAAGCATCTGATTCCTTTCTTAAATTCTGAAGCATAACATTGTACTAATTTAGAATTTATAACAAATGAAGTCCAGACATCTTGAATCAATTGTGGTAGCATGGAAATTTGACAGAGGATTCTGGTTTCTTCTTGGTGTACCTTAGAACAGAATAGATGACACATGACTTTCTATGCCCCTCTAGGCGTTGCGGTGTTTACCTCTCTGTGCTTCTCTGCTGCACTTGCACACAGTTCGATATAGAATGGGATCTGTTCAGAAATGTGTGAAACCCAGCAATTCTGAGAAAATGTCTGAATTTAATTTCAAAGACAGAAAGTATAAGTGCAGAAGGGCTAACAGTGTCATCTGAGAGCTTCACATACTACTGAGGATCAAAAACGCTCTGAGCCAGAAAGTCATCCAGTGAAAGAATCCAAAGGAAGTTAAGCATGATGCCTCATTTGCTCTTGAGCTGTTTTAAAGCAAAGAAACCCCATCTTTTATTTGTTCTTCTGTCATGCAAAGTGTTTTCCTATTTTATTATTTGTTTTAACATAAAACTTCAATTTCACTTTATGAGAGTGAAGTGAAACTATCACTAGAGCTGAACTTTTAAATGAAAGGAACTTTGGAAAGGGCGAGCCTAAGGCCAACTTACACTCTAGAAAGCCCTAAAACTACCAAAGTCAATGCATTATTTTTTTCCACTTGAAACAATAACACCAATACTAATACCAGAAAAATATTATTGTGTCCAATTTACCAATATTATTTAAGGGAAAATATGACAATCACAAAAATTTTTTTTCTTTTCTGTTTACATCTTAGAAACAAAGCATAAAGACACTTTCATCCTATATACCCCAGCAAATAGATAATGTTCAGGTTGAGACTACTCACAAACAATGCTTGTGTTGTTTGCAAATTTTTGATTATTTTTTGTTTCCACAGAAGCCTCATAGGATTTGAGCAAGGCAGTTGTACTTACAGTCCCACAACATTATCTTGTTCTGTGAGATCACATCTGTATCATGTATTATGCTGAAGTTAAGGGCTGTACTGGAGGGAGTGCTCCAAATTTTGTGGTCCTTTCATGCTTTTGGAATGGGAAACAACCTGGCCTTGCTTAATCTGAGCTAATTTTCTAGGTCATGTATCTGATTTCTCAAAGCTTTGATGTCTTTATTAGTCTCAGAATAATGATGTTTCTACATGTTACTATCTGTCTATCTTTAGTGTCCACTAAATTGCCTTTCCAGCTGCTTATCTGAGTCGCAATCATTCCATTGCCCTTTCAGCAGTGGGATAGCTAGAACAGTATGTCCTGTTTACTGTCCTTTTCTCTCATCAAAGAAACTGTTACAAGGGTCAGAATCTGACAGATATTTCATTATTAGCGTTTCGCCTTTTTTATATCATTGGCAGCCTATTAGTTTCTTTTGTGTTCCGGGGGTCTTAAATGAAAATGTGTTTTTCCCGATCTGCTCTATTGAGCTAATATCTCTTGGGCTATCCAGGATGTACAAAAGTGCTCATATAGCTTTGGGATAGCAATCAAATGATGTGGAAAGAGAACAGAAGGTCAGTGGGCTCTTACAGGAAAGGGTGGGAAGTTCTTAATTTTTTTGGAGTGGCATTGTAATGGTGCCAATGGTGTTGTAGTGTGTTAGACTATATAAGCAAAATGTTAGATGCTAGGACTGGAGACATGACAGTGTCTGAAATGAGTGATAAAAGTGGTCCAGACAAAGCACTGTTTTGTAAAATAACTGAATTTGGAGACATGAAGGAGGCAGTAAGACTTGTACATGTCTGGATGACTGCAGAGGAGAGAGGTCATAGTTAAAGAAGGGTCACGTTATAGGTGGGTTGGGAGAATTGTAATGGTTTTGGAAATGTCAACTGAAAGGGGTTGTAGGGAAGGTCTGCAAAAGAAGGAAAATTACTGTTTTCAAGTTACATTTCAATCTTACTGTAAAACACAGGAATATGAGATAGAAAGATACCTCCTGAGTTATCACATCTAGTCTACTGCTGCTTCAGATTACAACATTTTAGGTAAAATTCTGTAAGATATCATGCTCCATCTTAAAGCTGGATAGGCTTCTTGGTGTTGCGCCTCCTCCTAGTATCACTCTGATTTTTGAAAGCCTTAAAATTTCCAGTCTAAAGGTATTAAATTTCACTATGCATCCATTAGCTAAAATATTGCTCGTTCTCTGCTATTCAGCCATTTTCTGTATTCCTACCTCACTCATCCCTGTTGGACAAACCAAGCTCTTTAATCTCCTTTCAAAAGGTGGGCTCCTTGTTCTTTTTATCACTCTACAAGTCCTTCTTTGCACGTGCTTCAGTTTGAGTTCACTCTTCCCGAAACCTTAATGAGTTTCATACAGTATTCCCCAAAAGAACAGGTGCTTTCATCAGAACACATCCAAATTCATGAAGAAATGTAGTTTGTATGGCTGCAGGGAAAGAACTGTCATTTCCCTCAGATTACTTAAGTTATGATATAATCTTGGTAATGTGCTGTTTATTATGTTAAGGTTATAAGTACAGTACCTCACACATCTAGTAAGTCAACAAGTTTGTTGAAAAACTGAAAGAAACACATTATATCTCTGATACAACTTAGTTTATTTTAACAGAGTTATGGACTAACCGAGGAATGAATTCTTCACACTGCCTCTCTGTTTTTCGTGGTATGGGCTTTATGTTCCTCTAGGTAGGTTCTCTACAGCAGTTCTAGCTAGATGAAGCACAATCATAAAGTTTTTTCCCACAGCTGTATATTTTTATCTTGGCTTTCTCAGGTAGAAATTACATCTGCATATGGAAAAATTTGAAAGATATGTACACGTGAAATTCATCTACAGCATGTTTAGATAAGTGAGAGGAAAATGAGAATCTAGTAGGAGACATTGTTAAATAATCAGACTGGTTAGCCATCTGCACGTGGATGTTCTGGGCCAGCACTGGTTCAGTGTTCAGGGGAAGTGTGGTAACACATAGTCACAGGAGAATGGCCACAATTTCTCTTTTCTTGACTGAGTGAACTAACTGCCCCTGATTTGACTAAGGGTGAGGTAGGTCCTGTGCAGGGCTGCATAGCACAGCACAGCACTGTGTTATCAGTGACTGCTACAGGCTCTTGAGGCACACAAAGTAGCAAGAGTTAGGTGGG